TGAAATGATAACTTATACCCATAAATGTCTTTAACTTTCTTAACATGCTATTACGCTTCATTTGTTGACAAAAAACCTACAGAAATGAAGGCAGCAGTTGTATTGAAAGAGATCTCCTTACTTTCATTCCACATTGATTGGGAGAAATAAAAACATTAAACTCTATTGTTACTATCAACTGACTTGATACCAATTAAATACACTAACCTCGCCAGATACTAGCTTGCTAGGCTACTAGCTTACTAGTTTTCTCGCCGGTCCCAAGACCGGGTAAAGAGGGAGGGTTGGGGCGTGGTGCTAGCAACTCCACCCCTGTAAAACAACCAAATCGCTACAGAAACTTCAACGAATAAATATATTAAAAATTCTAAAAACATAAGCAATAGCCTTACTTTTTGCTGGAATCGGGGAAGTGAAATGACGCAGGCTGGTGAAAGCCTTCGGGAAGCCAGTCAGCCGATGTGCCTTCTTTCGATGAAAGCAAAAGTAAGGATGGGTACCTGGAATGTTCGTACAATGTACGAAACTGGAAAGGCTGCCCAGATAGCCGCTGAAATGAGAAGGTACAGAATAGAAGTGTTGGGAATCTGCGAGAGCAGATGGAACGGAACTGGAAGGTGCCAACTACCTACTGGAGAGACAGTAATCTATTCCGGCCACCTAGAGGACAACCATGAGCACACCGAGGGAGTGGCCATCATGATGTCACCAACAGCAGCCAAAGCTCTCATGCAGTGGGAACCAATCTCCTCCAGGATAATGACAGCCAGGTTCAACTCAAAAGGAAGGAAAGTTACAGTCATTCAATGTTATGCGCCTACAAACGTCTCAGAACAAGAGAAGAAGGAGGCGTTCTACAGACAACTACAAGCAATAATGGACAACGTCCCAAATGGCGATATCAAAATCCTGATGGGCGACATGAATGCGAAGCTGGGAGGAGACAACACAGGAAGAGAACTCACCATGGGTCGAGAGGCCCTCGGTGAAATGAACGACAATGGTGAACTCTTCTCAGACTTCTGCGCCTTCAATGATTTGGTGATTGGCGGTAGTGTGTTCAAACACAAGGATATACACAAGACGACATGGATTTCACCAGATGGAAACACCAAGAACCAAATAGACTTCATCTCAATTTCAAGAAAGTGGAGACGGAGCCTACTGGACACAAGGTCAAGGAGAGGAGCAGATGTGGGTTCAGACCACTATCTAGTAGAAGGGACTTTCAAGGTGAAACTAAAAGCCTCGAGGATAGCTGGGGATAGGCCACAATGCAAGTTCAACACTCAATTACTGAAGGACACAACCACAAAGGACACTTTCACTGCAACTGTCAGAGCAAAGCAGGAAACACTACGCGACAGCACTGAAGAATCATGCGTGGAAGAACATTGGAAGTCTCTGAAGGCGATTCTCAACGAAACGTGTTCAACGGTTCTAGGAAGAAAGAAGAGACAAGACAAGGAATGGCTCTCAACGGACACTTGGAAATTAATAGAAGAGAGGAGAATGGTGAAAGAGAAAATGATTCAATGCAAGGACGGACAGGAGAAGGAGACGATGAGCTCAACTTACAAAGCATTGGACAAAGAAGTGAAGAAGAGTGCTAGGAAGGACAAAAGACGATTCTACGACAATCTAGCTACTGAAGCTGAAAAGGCAGCAGGCAAAAGGGACCTGAGGACACTATATCAGATAACCAAATCTCTATCCGGGAAGAGACAAACACAAGCGAAACCTATAAAAGACAGCCAAGGGAAGCCCATTACCAAGGAAGAAAAACAGATTAAACAATGGGCGGATCACTTCAAAGGACTCTTGAACCGACCATCACCTGCAACCCGTCCAGAAATACCAACAACAGCGCGCACACAACTGCAAGTTGACACCAATCCTCCAACGGAAGCTGAAGTCTTGAACGCAATCAAACTTCTGAAAGCTGGAAAACAGCCGGACCAGATGGAATACCCCCTGAAGCACTGAAAGCAGACCCAGAGACGACAGCAGACATGCTGACTCCATTATTGCAAAAGGTCTGGAAGGAGGGAAAGGTGCCTACTGACTGGAGGAAAGGTTACCTCGTGAAACTACCAAAGAAGGGCGACTTAGGACTCTGCAAGAACTGGCGAGGAATCATGCTCCTATCGACGCCAAGTAAAATCCTGAGTCGCATCATCCTGGAGAGATTAAAGGACGCACTGGAGACAGAACTCCGACCAGAACAAGCTGGATTCAGGAAAGGCAAATCATGTTCTGACCAAATTGCAACTCTACGCATCATCATCGAACAAAGCATGGAATGGCAATCAAACCTCTACCTCAACTTTATAGACTTTGAGAAGGCCTTCGACAGCGTTGATCGTGAAGTAATTTGGAAATTACTCGAGTACTATGGCGTACCCCAAATATTCATCAACCTTATTCAACAGCTGTACGACAACGGCACATGTCAAGTGATCCACAACGGAAGACTCAGCGAGGCGTTTGGAGTAAACACAGGAGTCAGACAAGGGTGCTTTCTATCACCAATGATATTCCTAATTGTGGTGGACTGGATTATGCGTCAGACTGTGGGAAACGAGAAGACAGGAATATCCTGGACCGACGTGAAGAACCTAGAAGACCTGGATTTCGCGGATGACTTATGTTTGATGTCACACACAATCGAAGACTTACAAGCGAAAACCGACAAACTGGTCGAAGAAGCAGCGGCGAAGACAGGACTCCAGGTAAACATAGACAAGACGGAGGTTATGAAAATAACCAACCAACAACAACAGCAGCATCAGCAACATCCAACGACAATCACCATCAACGGGAGGGATTTGAAAGAGGTTACTTCATTCACTTATCTAGGGAGCATTGTCTCAACTACAGGAGGAACGGACGAGGATGTCAAATCGAGAGAGAATCGGGAAGGCGAGAAACACATTCATCAGCCTGAAATCAATCTGGAAATCTTCGTCACTCAGCATCAGCAACAAAATTCGGATTTTCAATACAAACGTAAAGTCAGTTCTTCTATACGGATCAGAAACTTGGCGGGTCACAAAGAATATTTCCAAAAGGCTGCAGACCTTTATTAACAACTGTCTTCGCTCAATACTGAAGATCAGATGGCCGGAAAGAATCACCAACAAGGAATTATGGGAACAAACAAAGCAAGAACCAATCGCCCAACAAATATGCAGGAGAAAGTGGAGATGGATCGGACACTCGCTGAAGAGACCGCTGGGTGACATCGCGCGCCAAGCCCTCGAGTGGAACCCGAAAGGGAAGCGGCATGTGGGACGTCCAAGGGTGACATGGGGGAGATCGTGTGAAGAGGAGTTGAAAGAAGATGGATTAACATGGATGCAGGCGAAAAGTATTGCAGAAGACAGAAGAAAATGGAGACGTGCAGTTGAAGCCCTATGTGCCACTAGGAACCCAAGGGAGCAATAATAAAATAATAATAATGATAAAAAATATCCTTTTCTTTTGCTAGTAATACCTTTGTAAACGTGGCTGTATATGTAATTTGCATTATTGTTTGTTAAATATACTGTTGACAGTCTTTTGTTATGCACGATACTATGTGTCGATAAAAAATGGCTTATTTTGATGAACAGCTTACTTCACGTAAACTATCACTGAGTTATATCTACGTGTCTCTTTTCTTATTTACAAAGTTTTATTTGAAAACATTGAAGAAAGTAAAGCTTTCAGTGTGATAATAGTTTTTGCTGCACCTTTGATAAACGTAATGCTACAAATAAAATTATTGTATGACAATAAAATTAAACAAAACTGAATATATTTTAGTAAAGATACTGATTTCAAGAACTGAAATGCTGACATCATAATTTGCTCTCAGTAGTATGTAACTCCAAGGAGATTTGTACAATGCTCTAATATGCATACGCATAAAATGAATCCTAGTAGTGATCTTCAGAAAGATACTTCGAATGAATTCCTTTGCAGACCATTATCAGCTTAGTTAACAACTAGCTATTTCCTTCATATTTAATGCTGAACACCTGAACAATAAAGCATGGCAATCAAGGAAATATTTTTAATTATGTTTAATTAGGAATTGGGAACAAAGAGGGCTTCCATCTAATTTCTTCCTATCGCTCAACACGAATAATATATTCATTTAAGTTGCTACAGTTTTTTGAAATAGGTACTTCGATTCGATTCAACAGTGGTAATTCTTGTTCGTTACAAGATGCAAGATGTGACTGCACAAACAAACCTTTCATCTTTACTCCTCATCCATTACTCTAAGCAGAAATTTGACCTCATTTTACACATAATATTTAGAAATCATAATTATCGCAGTAAATCGCAAAAGGAAGAATCTCGATTTCATATACAAAACAGGTTAAGACACTAGCAGTGACAGTAGGATTATATTCTCATTTGAACCCTTTCCAAAGGCTATATTCACTTTATAATCTCTTTAAGGGAAATACCGGTATCCTCTAAATCAGGAAGAATTACAGAACAACAGCACTGTACGCTACTGATTAGCTTAGGGGAGTAGTTGGAATCACTCTAATTAAGTGGATTTCTAATGTACCGACGCAGATTCATTATTTCTAAATAAATTTTCCCCTCAGAATATGCACACTAAAACTTATAAATTTATTTGCACACCGTGATGTTCATTCTAAATAGTGTAAGTGCAAATTTTTGATAACAGGTTACACGAAAATGGGTTGCAACATCATCTATTTACCATAGACCTCATAAAAAGAAACATTCAGAATGACTTTCTCAGCGACGGAAACAGTGATCCAACCAATTCTGTATTCATCATAGTTTTTTTCTAAATGGATCACTTATTTACGTGACATCAAAATTACCTTGATATTCTATTTCAAATGGTACAGCATTTGGTGTGTTATCGGCTAAAATTATTTTGATCAACAACACTACTGATTTCTACGATACTCATTGATAATATCAACAACATTTACTGATAAATGTCTTAATACGTAGAATCACATCATATGATAATATCTGACTGTTTTCGTCATTCATGGAATTGGATAACTCACTTAAACTTGAAGAGTATAAAAGTGCAGACAGAGAGAGTAAGTAGAAACCATTTGTCAAACTAAACTCACAAGATGAAAATGATTGTTTCCAGGATGTTGATGACTGCGATTGTTCTTTCAGTGGTAGTCGATTCGATAGTTGCATCAGGTGAGTGAAGCTTTTATTTCATATTCGTCGTCGTTGTATAAACTGAATACCGAAATATTAATATAAGTATAAAACTTGGGTAGTGTGGTAGAGTATAACTCCAGTATGGATAAGATTTTATTTTGATAAATCACACAGTGTTACACAGTATTATTAATTGATGACGCTTCGAGCATAAACTATTACTCAAAATCATATCAAGTTACTCACACAACTGTTTTACTTCCATCTATATACATGTGTGGAATTGACTAGATATTTAAATAAAAATCAGTGTAGGATAATGTGCATTCAGAAATAATAATATGAATAATATGATATTGATGAATTACAATCAGATGGGAAATAAGACGAGTGTTTTTATAGTCATAATAAGTAACTTGTTAGAATGTCGTGATGGGGTTGAATTGAAATACAATTTTAAGATTATTTAATTATCCTCCTCCGATTTGACTGATGGTAATAATATCTTCCATATTTCTGGTATTCGCGTTGAGTCATTCCTATTGCACGTTTTGTGTGTAGACTCGATGGACAAGGATTTCGTAATCAAGCTCTCTCTCTCCACCTACCTATATTACTACTTAAAATTTTAACTCTTTCCCAACGTATTGTGTGGTTGTATTTTGATGCATGCAGTGTGATTGCTGAGCTTTTTTCTAAATTACTTATCTCCGGGGAGTCAACCATTCTTACTTTAGCTAAATTCTTGTGTTCCGACAACCCGACTGCCTCCGACCTACTAGTCTGACCTATGTAGTTGACTTAGCTCACAGTCATTGCAGGGTATTTTGAAAATTACAATATCTTGTCTAATTGGGTCTACGTAGGGTCTCAGATGTCCCCTCCTTTTATTGTGTAACAGTGGATGACTTATATTCTCTCTTATTTATGTTATCATTACTAGCTTCACAATTATTTTTATTTTGCTTACTGATCTTCTTAATGAAATTTACAGGATAGTTATTTGATACCAACGCTCCTTCTATCTGTTTTATTTCATCATTAAAATAATAATAGTAAAATAAAACGAATAGAAGAAGGTAAACTACACACTTTTCTCCTTCACGTTCCCCAGTGGAACATAGGGCTTCAAGCTAGGAGGCTTGAAGTTTCTGTAGCAGTGTTTGTTTTTACAGGATGGGGTTGCTAGCCTCATGCCAAATCTTTCCTCTGTACCAGGATTATTTCTGGCTCAGTGAGGTAAAGGAGTGCGTCGGCCGGGGATCGAACCGCGGGCCATGTGCATGGTTGGTGAGCGTCCTAACCGCTATACCACCGACGCACAAACTACACACTAGTGTTTATAAAACACCAACGCATTTTAATAGATACTTAGACTTCAGTTTGCCTCATCCGTCATCTGCGAAGGAAGGCTTAGTTAAGTGTCTAACAAACCGAGCAGTAGCACAAGGAAAGACCTAAATGATGAAATAAAACAGATAGAAAAAGCGTTGATATCAAATTGTATTTCAATTCAACCCCATCACAACATTCTAACAAGTTACTTATTATGACTATAAAAACACTCGTCTTATTTCCCATCTGATTGTAATTCATCAATATCATATTATTCATATTATTATTTCTGAATGCACATTATCCTACACTGATTTTTATTTAAATATCTAGTCAATTCCACACATGTATATAAATGAAGTAAAACAGTTGTGTGAGTAACTTGATATGATTTTGAGTAATAGTTTATGCTCGAAGCGTCATCAATTAATAATACTGTGTAACACTGTGTGATTTATCAAAATAAAATCTTATCCACAATAGAGTTGTCTGTGATTTGCTGGGAATGTGAGGCTAACAGTTCGATTTTTGTTGTTTGGCTGTCCCCTCAATATTTCTAACCTGAACTGACGTTGATAACGAAAGTTAGTAACAAAAGGTGATCCACAGGCGAGCAAACATCTAGCTATTATGACTTGTGAATTGTGACTGACGGATAACAGTGGGATGATTATGATGGTGGTGATTGTGAAGTGTGTGTAACACGAGTGATTAGCTCAGTGTAGTCATTTTTGACGATGCATGATGATTCCTGATTATGAGCATGTGGAATGCAAAGGTATATCAATAAAGATTGGTCACACTTGAACGGTATCAAGCGAGGTGTGAGGCATTATGTCTAATTCCTTTAAATCGACACTCAGTTCTCAATTACACGTGCATATTTCGGAAGCAAATATTACCGCTTAATATTTAGACAGCATATTTTTAGAATGTATAATTGTTGAATGAAAATTGGTTTATTATTGACAAAACTATTGCAAAACAATTAAATGTGAAAAGTACAATTGATTTTATTTGACTGCAAAACGAATGACACATTTTTGAATTTCGTATTCTATTTCAGACTGCTATGAATGCATAAATTGTAAACATGTGGATAGACGTACTCCAAGAAAAAGTAATTGTGGAGGTTGTCTTGTAAGATAAAAGTCTTCATACTTATGACCATTTCACAGTGAAAAATTATACAGTTAACTTTTTTATATAATTTTACTCATGTTAGGAGTATAGTACGAATAGAATAATATTATAAAACCTTCATTCTTGAGATTTTCTTTCTGCGAATTCCTTATGTCCCCGCCTATATTTTGACAAATTTTGAGTGATAATGTTCCAGAAAGGAAGATATCATAACCCAGTGTTGTCGATGAATCTTGCTGATGAAAATCAGCTGTCATTTTAAGGGTTTCAAAATGTTTCTTCAAAAGCTTAGACATTAAATCTAATAAAATATCATGACCCATTACTATCCTTAACCATATAAGAATAGAACTTGTGCACTGTGGTAGAGCATAATTCATTTATAGGTCAAATTTATTTTGGTAAGAGAGGATTAAAATTCTAAGAAGTTATGTAGGTAGGTGAAGCGAGAGAGGCTGATTACTGAATCCTTGTTCATCGAGTCTATACCCAACCGGTGCAATAGGAATAACTGATCACTCATACAGGAAATATGGAAAATATTACTAACGTCAGGCGATGAAAAATAATGCATTTATACAAACAAAGTTGGAAAGTTGTATGAAGAGTACCTTGATATGATCATGAGCAATAAATTGTGCTCAAAACGTCATCAGTAAATATCACTGTATAACACTGTGAGACTTTATCAAAATAAATTTTACCTATAATGAAATTATACCTAACCATATTGTCTCATGTAACTTATTATTTAAATTTAACGTCTCAAGAATATAATTAAATTAAAACTGAGCACAAATGGTCACGTTAAATGTCGCTATCAAGTGACCTGATATCAATAGTCGGCCTGCAAAATTTGGGCTACCGACATTACATGCTGAAAATTCCATAGTTGTGCCAAAAACACAGTGTGGAATTAAGCTATAATCAAAAAAAGGAGTTCTAGTAATCAGTTTATTATGGGATGGCAAAAAGGCTTCAGTTCGGACTGCTTGAATGTACTTCAACCAATACTACGTTTTGTAAATTTTTTTCTTCCACAGGAAAGAATAGAAATTCTTCTTCTATAGTTTCGTTTGTGAGGGCTAGTTATGTTTTTACGAGTTGGTCATGGATTGATATCAGTTAGAGAACCACTGAAAACGAGGGAGTACTGGACAGCTGTTTCATCCTAGTTTGGAAATCATCGATAGTACGCACCCACTGCCAGGGTTCAAACCCAGGACCTTCCGGTAACGAGGAAAGCTCGTATACCATCCAGCCACTGGGACCTGATCCAATGGCTCATGAATTCTAACTTCTATCAATTCGTGATTTAACACGACCTAACCATGAAACTCACTAGTAACTTGCTACTGGATGGAGTTTTCTGGAGTTCTAGCTGGGTGTCGTGACCAGTGAGGTCCATCCAGATGTCACATTTGAGGATGGATGTCCCACCTACGACAATGGTCGGGTCGGGCTAAATCACGAATTGGTAGAAGTTAGAATTCATGAGCCATTGAATCAGGTCCCAGTGGCTGAATGTCATACGAGTTTGTCTTGTAACCGGAAGGTCCTGGGTTTGAACCCTGGCAGTGGGTGCGTACTATCGATGATTCCCAAACTAGGATGAAACAGCTGTCCAGTACTCCCTCGTTTTCAATGGTTCTCTAACTTATATCAATCCGTGATCAACTAATAAAAAATAGAATTTCTGTTGATCTAGTGTTTCAATTTATTTTAGAACAGAGGAAATATTCCTGATACAAAAACTTCTGATTTAAACTGTATTAGAATAAATTTTATTTGGTGGGAAACCAGTACAGATTTAACTTTAGCGGAGAAGTAATTCATATACTAGTTATTGGTATGAGTATGATGGCAATATTGCATACATGAGACAGCGAATTCATGAATCAACCATATAAAAACAGAGATCTGGAAATACCTGTGGTACAGAAACAGCCAATTCATTCACAATTCCTTCTTTGTCTATTTGGGGATGAAGTAGCCAGATCATCCAAGTGTGCTAAGTGGCATCACATATCAGAATCCATGTTCATAATGGTTTACGAAATTTCGGATAAATATTTCGATCCGTTTATAACATTTTGCTAACTGCCTCACAAAGTAATGATTTTCTTCATTTCATTGATCTAGAAATATGTGTTTAATGGGCAGGGCAATCGCGTAGACAGACAGTGTGTAGCTACCTGTAATGGCGTACAACAAACGACAGATTACAGAGTCTACTGCTGCAGAGGGAATTTATGCAATTCCAGCTCGAAAGTCACACTGAACGCAACATTTATTTATTCGATTCTTTTTATCGCTGTAACTACAATATTTTATAACAAATGAGAATAATTTTTTAAAAATACACTATTTGTCTCACATAAATTGATATAATACTTTTATGAATTCCTCCTCACTCCGAGTGGAATACAGTGCATCAAAAATGAGAACTGAAATTTCATTAGCACTGGTTTTGTTGTCACTGTGTGTGGGTTTTCTAGCTTCAAGCTCAACCTTCGCAATACACTTGGATCAGTGTTAACTAATCAACGTTTAGGAATTGGTCAACCGTGTGTTCTCTGACTGAATCATATTGGTGAGTGTAAGAACCTATCACAGGTGAAGTAGAAGCAAAACGTTTCAAGTGAATGAATTTGACGCTGTATTAAACATTTTGTACGGACTAAATTTCAGTGGTTTTCCATATCGAAGAATAAGGATGTTTAGTTACTCGTGTTTTGTTTATGACAGCTAGACTTTTATATATTTGAGATCAACTAGCAGAAGTGAAAGTCGAATTTCATAATCATTCGCAATTTCATCTAAATTCAATTTGAAGTGTACACTTCAGTGTATGGTTAACTTGAATCATATACCATTCAGACAAATGTCGATTTCTCCGATTACTCAGGACTTCCATCAGTCTAGATTTTTCCAGTTGCCTGGTGTTATGAAATTGACTGGGGAGTCAATCCAGGTGAACAAAAATAATGCAAGAGAATAGGTATCATGATCGACTGTATTCAAAGAGAACATTCTGTGATACTTTTGTATTACTTCTGAGTCTAAATTTCTCCGAATGACGTTTCGACATCCGAAATATCGAAATCCAGTTCACAGACATCACTTCTGGAAATGTGAATGGCTAGACAGATTGTTGGCATGAGATAATCAAAATCGATTAAGTGTTATAAGAATTTGAAGGCTGTATGGAATGTAAACACACAAAATGCATGACATCTCTATTTGACTAGCACAATTATGAACAATCATGTCGTCAACGAAACTGCCTTACCACCTGCTTTTTAACCATCATGTGAATTGTCAAATGCAAATGTTTTCACTCAAAGTATGATAAGTGTGGACTGACTCATATTTATCAGGTATTTGTATGCATGTGATAAATATAGGTGTGTTTGAGTGTGTTAGGTGTTAGTTGAAAAATCTGTCTCTCTTATCAGTAAGCTATTGTAGACGCTTTTACACTCGATTCAGTGTTCACATGTTAGTGTGAACTACCATGGCGCTAGTTGTGCGATTTCAGCCTAACTGAATAGTATATTATCAGTTACACTATGAAAACTAGAGATGATCTGTTATGATATGACCAATTATTTCTGGATTATATACGAGTTGACTGATATTGAATTGCAGAATAATCCTTAGCTCTCCATCAATTTTGATATCTTGTTGGTGACATCTACTAATTAGTTGTTTTGATTATTCTCAATCTCCGATTCCCATCCATCAGCTTCACTTAGAACTGGTAGTTGTTATTGTCTGATATAACCGCGTGACTGGCACAATCTTGAGAGCGTAGAGCTGATGATGATGGTAATGATGAGTAACCAATTGTAGATGAATATATTTGTTCACTTAGGCTGTTGAATTTTCTGATTGTGAGAACCGATGGTTAGGCAGAATTGGTAAGCACGATTGCACTTCAGGGAAAATGTGAGAGGCACACGTGGTGGAAGTACGCGGATGTCAGCACCAGAGAAGACAAATCCTCATCACTGAGAAAAGTGGGAATGAGATCGTCATTAGTTTGACTACAGGTGACACAGATGAGTTTATTAGAACTATTATTTATTGGTGGTAGGACAGAGAGGCGTCTACCACTCAGAAAGTAGTATGAAGGCCTGCATCAAATTAGTGTGTCAGTCTAACAGAGGTAGGATGCTCACCAACCACACAAGTGGTTCGGGATTAGATCCAGGGCCGACGCACGCCTTTACCTCGCCAAGTCAGTAATAAGACTGGTAAAGACGGTAAAGATGGTTGTGCATGAGGCTAGCGACCCCATCCCTTAAAAGGAAACACTATAACTACCGAAACTTCAAGCCTATAGATTGAAGTCCTATGTTCCACTGGGAACGTGCAGGAATAAAGTAAATGAATCATAGTATTCTGCAGGATTCTTTAGGGGAAACAATATCTGAACCCATTTTGAAATTAATGTCAAGTAGAGGCTTCTATATGTCTGACAGACTTTGTTTCCGAATCAGGAAAATCATTTGCAAATACCTGTTAAAACTTTCATGTACAATTGCTTTCGATTGATATTGAGATTGCATCGTCAATCGAAAATATTGGGATATTGTCTACTTTGGTGAGTATGTACCTGGTACGAATCTGCTACTCAGCATGTATGCAGAATTTCGATTGTTAGGCTTTTGGCACGAACGAATATCCGTTAAAGAGATCACCGACAATCAGGGAGCACTGGTTAGCTGTTTCTTCCCACTCTATAGACAAGTGAAAAATGTTCTCTCACAGACTTGAGATGGATCAAACTCGAAACCTTCAGATTACGAGACAAAGTTTGAGGACCATACAGTCACTTGTGATGGAGTTCAGTGGTCCGCCGACTCTAGCTTCGTCAACTCATGACAAAACAATGCCTACATCAATGACTTTCATGACTATTCAACCTTCTTTGACACTGTGACCGTACTAGTTAAGTCCTCCCAGTGCAGCTTCAGGAAATCCATCCAATGTCTGAAGGTTGATATTAAGATTATAGAATGGTGATGAGTTGAATATACTCTGTGAAGACATTTAAGTGATACCACACATGGAGCCCTCAGCGGAGAAGGCAACGGCTTCGACAGGAAAGACGGAAATTGAGATCATGTATTCGGAAACTGAAATCTTGTGGGTAGTTGTGAAGTTGTTTATAATTGTTAGGTGAGGAGCTAGCACAGTGCGGATAAGCCTCTAGAGCTCTAAGTACCAGTTGAAATGGAAGGAATGTATAATAATATGTTGGCTGAAGGTGGAATAGAATGTCCATATTAAACACGATTCCATTTGAATTTATGTTTATGTTAAAATCAACACAGCTGCATTCTGCCTTAACATTATTGTATTCATGTCAGTTTCACGATCACGTTTATACGGTCGGCTTATTGCTTCTTGCAACAGTGAAGAATTCATCAATAAAGAATTATTCAGATTCAGTATTTCGACCAATACAAGATGCATTGTTCCGTGTTGAAGTATATGTGCCAGTAGTGAATTAGTAAGTGAAAGCTAGAGGAACCATTCACACTGTTGGTGCAAACAGATTTCCCACGAAATATTTCACTGATCCTTACCTCGTATCAATAAGAAAGCGTCCTAAGGATAGGCATTCCATTTTCAGGTTAACTCACTTATTTTACTAGACGGTGCCAAGCACCAAAAACGAGGGAGCGCTGTACAGGGTTTTAGCAACGCTATCCCACAATATCAATCAAAGGCTACAGAAAATTCAATGCTCAAGCAAAATATCGAAAATTTAAACTACAAATTTGTTTTTCACTGCAATCGGAGAGACGAAATGTAGCGGGTATTCTGGAAGCTTTTCAGACAATACTGATTATTTCGATGAAAGCAAAAGTAAGAAAAGAACGTGGAATGTTCCCACAATGTAGGAAGCCAGGAAGGCTGCTCATGTCTCCAAAGAAATGAGAGGATATGGCACAGAAGTGCTAGGAATCTGTTAGAGCTTGTGGAATGGATGTGGACTATCGGAGTGTCAACTGGAGAGTCAGTGATCTATTTCGTTCTGGTCCCACAGAGGATAACCACGAGGATACCGAGACAGTGAGTTGCTGTGATGACGTAACCAACACTAGTCAGAGTTCCCAAAGATTGGTAAGCGACCTCCACCTGAAGGATTACGACAGTAATATCAAACTCAGAACGAGTGAAGGAAGAAATGTAAGAACTATCCAACACTACGTACTCAAAACCAGTTCAGAATAAGAGAAGAAGGAAGATTCCTATAGATAATTGAAAAACAGTAATCGACATCATCATAAACTGGGACACGAGAATCATAATGAGAATTCCAGAACTATTCACAGATTTCTCCGCCTTCAAATATTTGATGAAAGGAGGCAGTGTGAACAACTTCATTTGATGAAGACGCTGACAGACGCAGCTAGACTGCTGGACACAGTATTGAGACGGGGAGCAGATGTGTTCATCGTACCATTATCTGCTGTAATGAACGTCCGAGGTGAGGCTAAAATTCTGCGAAACAACTGGAGACAGACCACAATTTGATTTCAGCACTCAGGAACTGAAACATAAATCTCCGAATGACACGTTCACTGCAGCTATCAGAGGAATGTCGGAGACACTACGTTGCATCTGTGAGGAAATCTGAGGAGAAAAACATTGGGACTGTGTGAAGCTGATGTTCACGGAAACGTGTACAGCCATTTTAAGAAGAAAGAAGAGACGCGACAGTACGAGTGGTTCTCGGCGGGCGCCTGGATGCTCCTGGAAAGGAGGAATATGGTGAGATGGGAGATGATTCAGTGCGGAAATGTACAGCAGAAGGTGAGGCAGAGTTCAGTGTACATCTCACTGAATGAAGAATTGAAGAAGGCGCTAGGAAATTTAGAAGATGAATGTATCACTGGAGTAGAACAACAAGGCTGTAGGTGTTAGAGATCTGAGAACACCATATCAAGAAAGCAGGTCTCCATCCTGCATAGGATCGACTCAGACGAAAACAACACAAGATGTTCAAAGGAACCTGATCACCAAGGAGGAGGGACAAATAAAAAATGGGCTGATCACCTCGAAATACACACTAATCGACCAAAAACTGCAATTCGCCCAGAAATATCATCAACAGAGAACATAGTACTGCTAGTGGACACTAATCCTCCAACGAATACGGATATCTGGGATGCAATCAAGATAGTACAAGGCGGCTGAGAAGGTAGCAGGACCATATGGATTTCCTCCCGACGCCATGGAAACGGACCCAGAGATCGCAATGGATATTCCCACGCCACCATTGCAAAGGATGTGGAGGTAGGAAGCGGTATCTGTGAATTGGAATT